AAATTAGGGTTTGAGTTTTTATATATCACCTAATTTTTGAAGAATTAAATTTGGTCCCTCATTTTTTAATTTGAAACTTTAAACACCAGGAATTGTGTAATTTCTTCTAGTTACACAACTATGGAACATTTGGGGTCCAAGTTAAAAAATCAGGCGAATTAATAAATATTGTAACATTACAAAAATCATATGAAATTACTCCAATAATCAATTTTTTGTTAATGTGTCTAATTTTTCTTGTAATTTTTTTCCGTGTATGTAATTCTGTATCTTATCAAGTTTTTGTAATTTTTTTACGTGTACAAAAATCATGTAGTAATTCTTTTTTATTAAAAAAAAAAATCAGGCATATTTAATATAGGAAAATGCTTCTTGTCCAATTCTCTCTCTCAAAGGCAACATGGAGTTGCCAATCTACCCCTCACGAAGAAATCACCGCCCCTACAACCCCCAACCATCAATTTCAACAAATAGCAACATATTTTGGGTTCCAAGGCATCGTTTTTGGGGCCAATAAATTGATGACTGGAGTGGTTTCGTCAGAATCTAATTTGGCGAGAGCAATGACGTTGGTGGTGGCGGTGGAAATTGTGGTTTTTTTTTTTAATGGTGATAGTGATTTGATTGTGGAGGTTACGATGGCTTGATAGTGGAGGTGATAGGGGATTTAAGGTGCGTTGAAGGTAGTGGTGGTGATTATGGATTTGTGATAGTGGTGGTAGATTTAAAGTGGCAGCAATGATTTGGATGGTGCGACGATGATGGAATTGGTGAGATGATGTGGGGTTGAATGAGAAGAAGAATGTTTGTGATCAATTTATTGGATAATTCATGACATAATAAAATGTGTAATTTACGATTCAATTTATAATTATAATCCACAAATTTTGTCGTTGTGACTGATCTGTGATTAATATGTGACGGTGATCATAAATTGTGTGTAATTTCTATCGGGAGCAGATTAATTAAATTATAGGTCACAATATTGTATTAGGGTAAAAAAATGTAACTAGCTGATATTTGAAAAAAACTCCACAAATTTATTATTTTTGAAAGTATTTTTTGAAACCTTTGTAGTTATATAATCTTCCATTCACCCTTATAGTAACCCATGTTGAGCTGACAAAAATCTTATATTTTCCTTGTTTTAACTCATGAGTATACATCGTATCGGCCTACCTAAAGGCTTTTACAGTTAAAAAAGGAATACTATTTATAGTAGGCGACTATAATAATTGCCCTGCTTCACATCTTTATGAAGAGTGTACATCGGGGTGTCAACCTTAATGTACAAAGAGCAAAATTCATAGAGTAATAATGTGTTAAAATCTTCAACTGGCCTCAAATATTTGGAAATTTAAATTCCCAACCATTTCAAGTACCTCGGGAACCATGGACTCGACATTCAACTACGTACCTAGATATGTCACCCTTTTTTTATCTATTTACTTACGAAGAAGTATTTCTCACTCCCTTGGGCGTTATAATCAAAAACTTTCACGTTAGAAAGTAAGACGTCTAGCATACGAAGTCAAAGGATTTTTCAATCACTTGTCTCCAATTGGATCCTACCAATGGGTTTTCCGTTCAGCATCCCCAAAGAATACATTGAGGACATAACAATGTCATCGACTGACATATTGAATTCTAAACACAACAT